CAAAAAAAAAAACAACACGCACATTTCATCGAACAGGTTGTGTGCATAAGTTCCAACAAAATATTCCAGTACATGAACTACGCGAGTGAGTAAGAGGATCAGTCTGTATCTGGACTACAGACGATTTTCCACTAGGTAGAAACAAAATGGGGAATACTAATATGGGTAACTGAGAACTATATGAATCAGACGGATAGAGTAAAAATTCACACAGAAATAACAGCGTGAGCTTCTCTAATTGCAAAAAAAAAAAAAAAAAAAAAAAAATTGCTTTTTACTACCTTAACATCACTACGAAATGTCTAAAATTAACTTTCACAGATTTTCTTTTTCCCATTCTTTCAAGCTTGACATTGGGTTTTCCCATAGTTATCGAACAATCATAACTCGTGCGGTGAAAAAAAAAGGTGGAAATTGGGGATAAAAATAGCAATTACAGAACAAATGAGAAGGAGGATAGCAAACTTACGAATTTTCAGCCACTTCCCTGGTCAGCTTCTCTAGTTTGCTTTTCTTTTTACCTTTTTCTTTTTCTCTTAAACCTTTTGGATTGATTTTGACAAAATTCCTAAATGAGGAACCAATATTGAAAAAGGAAAATTCAGGCTCAACTTTTGAAAAATAGTAAACTATAAATAGAGTATTTTCTGTATTTATTCTATACACACATTTTTTTATACCTTTCTATGTTAAGAACACTATTTTTCTCATTTTACTATTTTTGGTATGTTATATATGTCGCGCCTGGTTTTCTTGCGAAATTAGGTTTCGACAAGTGACAACTCTCTAAATAGGATTAAAAGAGAAGAGTCGTCACCTAACGATTTTAAGGTGAGTTATGGAACCTATTTGCAAATAACTGTGATTTAACTAGTCAATGTCACCAAAGATCGGGTAAGGATTCAAGTTACCTCGAAAAAAAGGTGTTAGACACTCTTCAGGGTCCATAAATATGGTTCCTAGCCGAATTTTAAACTATGTGGGATTATTGAGTAATAGGCATGTGAATTAGTTAATTAATTAAGACTCATCTAACTGGCCTACATGATTGAACATACAAGTTAATGCCAGAATATTTAACTCAACTAAACGTTAAAGGAATAAGAAAGAAATGACTAAGTAATCGTAGAAAGAAGTTGACTTACACATAAGAAAGAAAAAATAGAAGAAGAGGCAAATTTCAACTTTCAAAACAATATCATTTGAATAAAGCCTATTTATCCCCGCCCAGTACAATTGCACAAAAATAGATAAATAAAGTGCGGCGAGGTTAATTAGTAGGGGGTCCTAAATTTTTAGGTCTAATGGATCAACTCCCGTGCAAAGCCTGCTAAGACGTTTATAGCCAAAAGTGTAATGGCTATTCGGGTAATTGTGTATCATCTCCAACTATCCTCATTACTATATTTAAGTTGTTAATCTAAGAGCGAACTAATTAATTATAAATCGCGTCTTAATTTAAAACTATTCGTCCCTTCCTATAGTTAAGTTGTTAAGGGCAGATTTTTCGAAATCCTTTTAAGCAAGAGTAAGGTAAGGAGATAAGTCTCTTTTAAGACCTAAAACATGGTTCCTAGTTGACAGAATGATTGAAAATATTCAGACGGATGAAAGAGTTAATAATCCTAAAGTAAGGTTCTCTAGCGCACAAAAATACGACACAAAAATAGAGTTAAGCATACGAAGGTTAAAAATACCCGGGCATTTAAACTTGGCATGCTTTCGATAGAATGTCGCACGACATTAAGCATAACCAAGTGCGAACAACACGCAAGAGCAAGTAAAAAGGGACGAAAATCATAGAAGAAAACCAGGGGCGGACCCAAGTGGTGAGAAGTGGGTTCAACTGAACCTGCTTCGTCAAAAAATAATACTGTGTATATGTATAAATTATGGCTAAAGCAAGGTAAATTTTGTATAGAAATTATTTTTGAACCCGCTTATACGGCTTATACCGCTTATGTTAGTTGCTTATGTTAGTTATGGACTTCTCCGACTGAACCAGCTTGCACAAAATACTGGGTCCGCCACTGAAGAAAACTAATCTATTCTAGCAAATGACTAGCACATAAAAGAATTGTAATGCATCGTTCACGAACTAACCAGTTGAAGAGCATATCAGTAATAGAATCAATCAGATGTTAATCTAATTCAATATAAGTGTTAGAGAAAACCCGCAAAATTAAGCTGTCACATAATTAGAGTAAGAATCTATGACATGAAAGCAAAGCTTTTGAATAGAAAAAAGTACAAGATCGAGATTTTGAAAAATCAAATTGATAGAACGGGAGCCAAATCAGTAAAAGAAAAGAGAAATTCTAGAAATACTTACCCACTTTGTGATACTTTTTTTGAACCTGGACTGATTCTTCCATGAAATTCGTCCCCAACTCTTCCGCCAAAATTCGTTCTTTAGAAAATAGTTTCTGATTTTGAGTGATTAGGGAAGAGATTGTGCTATGACACTTAGTAATAAAATGGTAAAACAATTAAGGAAAGAAAATAATAAATTTAAATAAGGAAATAAAGAGACTAATTATGAATTAGAGAAATGAAGGACAGGGAAAAATGGGTATTGTGGCGAGGAAGATAACGAGGAGGAAGATGGTGAACTGGTCTGGGGTTTTGGGATTAATCTAGAGAAAGGATTCTTGTTTGGAAAATACTGTCAAGGGCCGAATGGGTTATAGGGCTTAGTTTAGTCTACTGCTAAAACAAGTCATTTGCATCTATATTCGCTATTTGAGTCACGTTTTAACTTATGCCCGCTTTACAAAAAAAATTGCAAGCATACCTATTTTTTCGCTTAACTTCAGTATTCGGGGCTAAAGTAGCAAAGACAATACTTCAGCATTCTAGTACACGAGACTGAAGTACCAAGTGTGCTGAAGTTTTTGTTTGTAATTGCTGAACTTAAGCATAGTAGCTGAAGTTTTGTTCTCTATTTGCTGAAGTTTTTGTTTGTAATTGCTGAACTTAAGCATAGTAGCTGAAGTTTTGTTCTCTATTTGCTGAAGTTTTTGTTTGTAATTGCTGAAGCTTTTATTTATGTAACTGATGGACTTCAGCTCTAGATCTGAAGTTTTTATTTTTGTAACTGGGAACTTCAGCTCTAGAGCTGAAGTTTTTGTTTTGTAACTGGCGAATTTCAGTTCTAGAGGTGAAGTTTTTGTTTTGTAACTGGCGAACTTCAGCTCTAGAACTGAATTTTGTTTGTAACTAGCGAACTTCACCTCTAGAGCTGAAGTTTTTGTTTGTAACTGCCGAATCTAGAGCTGAAGTTTTTGTTTGTAACTGGCGAACTTAAGCCTTCTTAGAGTTAAAGTTTTAACTAACTTTCCATATGATTCGAACGTTGAAAGTATTCACAAATATGTTTTTCTTTTGGGTAATCCAATTCACATGCTGCCTGCAATGACTTCTACTTCCCTATCTGAGGCAAGCCTCAAGACTTCCTCTTGAAAAATAATCCCCAATTCCCACCACCGCCAAAAGAAAGAGGAGGGAAGGGAAGAGGGACACAACAAAAAGCTAGTGGAGCTTTGACGTAAATGGAACTGACACCATCTTGGCAACATGCTTAAAAAGCCAATTTAAACAGAAAAAGCAAAACAAACTCTACCTGATATAATCCTGTATCCACAACAATAATATCTAACTTTGAGGGCGGATATAACTCTGAGGAGGAGAAGGAGGAGGAGAAAGGGGGCTGAATTTATTTAAAAAGTGGGTATAAGTTGAAACTTTTTAAAAAACCTGTGCACTTTTTACACTAAAACCGGGAGAAATTCAAATATAGCCAGATTTATAAGTGGTAATTGAAAAATAGCTACAGTTTCAAAAGTAATCGAAATTTAGCCATTTTTCATCTAAAGATAAATCTGAATGAAAATAATGTTCAAAATCCGAAAAATATTCCATCACTGGAGTTAAGATTTTTTACATGTGAACTTCCAGCATAATAACTGGAGTTCCAGCATAATATGCTGGAAATTCATACACAAGTTCTCTAATCTCCAGTATATTATGTTGGAACTTTCCGTGTGCTGGAATTCCAACATAATATGATGGAAGTTCATACATAGTTGCACCAATCTCCAATATATTATGCTGGAACTTTCCGTATTGCAGTAATATAGTGACTATTTTTCAATGACTTTACAAATGCTGGTTATTTTTCAATTACAGTTCGAAAACTGGCTAGTCTGTACTATTTTCACAGTAAAACCGACTAAGAGCAGTAGATGGGTTTAATTAACAGAAAATGGGTTACCCAGATGAGAAAGCTATGAGCTACTATTTTAGTTAAGTGACCATAAATAATTTAAAAAAAAAACTAACTAATAAATAATAATTAAACAAAATATATAAAGTGAGAAATTATATATTTTTTAAATTATAAAATAAATGTTACTTTACATAAATTCTTGGACGGGTTAAAATAAATTGCAATGCCTTATGGTTTTCGAAAATTATTAATTAATGAATAAAATATGTAGTAAAATTTTTATAAACATAAAAAAATAAACTTATAATACTTGTAATAATAAAATGTTATAAGTATCACCATGACCTTTTAAAGTAAAAATAGTAGTTCAGTGGAATAAATTCAATGATAAAATTGGGTGTAAAATACATAGCTTTAGTGGAATAAATAAAATACATAGCTTGATGATGAAAAGGTTGGTTGGATGAGTTTTCTTTGGAGTGTTTTTCTTCTCTTCAATCTTGTTTTTCTTCTGCTTTCTTCTCCTTTTTATAGCTAAATTTTGGAACGAATTTGAAAACGGATTCCAAACTCTTCTGAAATCTATCTTGTCCAGCCTTGCAGGGTACTTCATTGGGCCCCATCTTCACATGGCTTGGTCGGAGATTCCTTCCATATTTGTAACTTTTTCTTCCACTCAAAATTTTAACTTGTCTTTTAGCAACAACTAACATTACCTCTTGTCACATCTTCTTTACTTTATGTCACTTGTCACTTTTGTCTTTTAGCACAGCTAGCATTTCTTCCTGTTACCTCTTCTTTTCTTGTTTTTCTCGTTGGTATGCTATCATTATTGCTCTATATACCAGCCTTGTTTCTTTTGTCTTTGGTGCTCTTAACTGAGACTTTGTTTTAGGTGTCTAAATTATGTATAGCTATTGAATCGAAACTCATTTCTACTCATCTTCATATGGATCTTGAGCATCTTGATAATTTAGGTTGTCTTCATAGTTATCATCTTCTCCTGAACTTTGGGTTCTTTCTAGATTTGGACTTGGACTTGGATTCTTAACCATGTGTTTGTCTTGTTCTTCCTTTTCTTGAAAAAAGTTTTCTAATGTCTGTTTGATTATATTTTCTATTTTTTCATTTTTTTCTTTTTTGAAATTATACTATTCTTTTTTAACGCTTCTCCGTGTGTTAATGTTCTGGGTAGTCTTCTTCTTGATGAACCTTCATCTTCACTTTTTGACAAAGTGACAGCCATAAACGGATTTGATGTGTCTTTACCGGTTACCGTTTGAACCGGACTAGCTGTATCATTATCCAATACAGTGGATCTTGCTGCATTCATTGGGGAATGCACACTCTTCTCATCCATTTTTGTTTGAGATGGAGAACTCTATTTTGGACTGTTCATCTCTGTATCTTGTTGAGAAATAACTTGAGTCTGGGATAATACAAATCTCAACGCTTGTACCCTGTGTTCCAATACTTTTACCTGCTCCATAAGTTTTGTCTTCTCTTGTGCCAGGGTTTCGTTTGTCTGGTTTATTCGTTTAAAGGCTTCTTTCATTGATGAACAATGATCACATAATATTATCTTGTCATTATCTTTTCGGATGTTGTATTGAGGAGTTTTTTCTGTGTTTTGTCTGAGTGCTGGAGAGATATAGTAGTTTGGTCCTAGTATTCCTCTTGCATAATCTAATGCTTCAGTAAAATCATTAAAACCTTTGAAAAGTGGTTTCTCTATATCCTTAATAGAATCTAGTACTTCTAATCATGTCTGAATAATACCATTTGTCTTACCATGTATAATCACATAATACTTAAATCTTTTGTCTTGGTTTTTATCTGTAAAATATTGTCCTAAGGCATTAAGAGACGCTATAAAATATTTAGTGTCTTTCTTATTATATGTTATCCATAAGTTATCAATTAAACACCGTTGAGGTCTGTCTATGACACATTCTGGTAGGACTCTAAATGACATGTTTGATGGTGAAAAAATATTAAATTATATTTTCCAAAATTTATTCTTTCCATATTGGTCTGTTCTCCAAAAGGATGTGGCTTAAAATGAAGATTACCTAATACTGTCTGCAAGTATCTGTCTGAGGGTGAGACTTGAATGTCCTTCCCTTTGTCTTCAGTCATGGAAACTGTTGGTCTCATGTTGTACATGTAAAATACTTGTTTATTAATTGACAGTAATTTTAAGCCTACTTAACTGATCTGCTAAATTATTATCTTTTCCTTTAATATGTTCAAAAACCAGATTATATATTGATATAGTATCAGTAAAATTTAACCATCTTCTTCTACTACTGTTCTTTGCATTTATCTTCTGGTGAAATTTAACTATGGCTTCGCAATCAGTTCTAATTGTTACTTCTTGTTTATTTAATATATATAATTTAAAACTATTTAATCCGTAAATTACAGCTGATATCTCTGCATCTATACTACTCATATTTCCTTTTTCTTTATATTTACCACTTTGATAAAGCACATTTTTTTATGTGCTCTTATCACTATATTTATTTGGTTTTGCTTTTAGAACTGCTCCCCATCCTTCAAAACTACCGTCTATTTCTATTATCAAGTAGTCTGTTTCTAGTGGCATATTTAAATTAGGAATATTTTTTATTTTTTCTTTAATTTCTTGTACTAATTTAATGTCTTCTGTGTTAAAATATTTTTGTCCTGTAGCTCCTGTCTTAGCATATAATGGTCCTGCTATTTTTCCTAAGTCTTTAATAAAGTTTCTCGCATAATTTACTATTCCCAAAAATTTTTGTGGCCCTTTGGTACTATCTAATTTATCTGGCATTTCTAGGGCCTTTTTAGCTATATGGGGTTGTAATTTAATTTTTTTCATCCCCTAAGATTACTTCTAGAAAATTTATATAATTCTTACATAGTTCCATCTTCTTTTTACTAATTATTATTCCATTATCTACAAATAATCTAAATACTGTCTGTAAATATCCTAAATGTTCTTTAATATCTTTACTAAATACTAGTATATCATCTACATATATTAAAACAAATCTCTTATATTCTCCAAATATACTATCCATATTTCGTTGAAAAATTGGTGGAGCTGTTTTTCGTCCGAACGACATTACTAGCCATTCGAAGTGTCCTTCTGGACAAGTAAATGCAGTCCACTCAATGCTTTCTTCATGCATCTTTACTTGCAAATACCCTGATTTACAGTCAAACTTGCTGAATATCATTTTTCTTTATATTCTATTTATTAGTTCTGTTTTATCAGATAACTTATATCAATCTGTTCTAGTGTTATCATTAAGTCTTTTGTAGTTTATTACCATTCTCGCTTTTCCTCTTACTATCTCACTATGGTTTCTAACCATAAAGGCTGCTGACCTGTGTTTAGAAGTGGATCTTCTTATTACTCCTAAATTTATAAGTTCTTTAATTGGAATTTTGAAGTCTTCTAGATCTTGATTTGTAGCTTCTATTGAGGCTGTTTTAGTTACATATTCTGGATTAATTATATCTAGTTTACACATAACTTTATTGTTTTCCCAATGTTTTAAAGGTTTTTCTCCTATTATTTCTATTTCATCTAATATTTTTATTATAT